TGGATCCTGTGGATGGAGCAGCTCGGGGTTCAAGTGCAGGTCGGGGGGACAGACCCCAGGTCAGAGGGGCCTGATGGGGTGGGAGACAGGGTCTGTCCGGAGTTCAGAATAAAATGAGGGTGTCTTTCCCTTTCACCCTTCTCCTGGAGCCCGGCTTCAGAGGGCTGGTTCCGAGACCCTCCCCTCTCGGCCACGCGGAAGCTGGAAGCCACACCGACTCCTCAGCTGAGGTTTCACTCTCCCTCGGGCTGGATGTGTGGTTTTTTATTTTCACAGGGTTATTTGGCTGCCAGGTCGGTGCTCTGGGTGGAGGTAAAGACCTTTGCTTGGCAAAGAAAGCCGCTGGGCCACTGGTGAGGGAGGAGCCGAATGACCCGCCTGCGGTGGGAGGGGCACTCTGAGGAGGAGCAGAGGGCCAGTGAGCCTGGCGCTGTGCCCGGAGCGACAGCCACCCTGTGTGAGCATCGGCTGGATTCTTAGCAGAGTGTCAGCTCCTTGATCGCACAATGACCCTCAGGGATCGTTACTCTTGTTCCCTTCGCTTTCCTAGAGGGAAACTGAGGCATAGAGAGGTCAGGTAAGATGCCCTATATCCTGCAGGTGGGAGGTATCAGCCAGGATGCAAAGCCAGGATACAAGCAGGATGTAGAAGCTTATGCTTGACCACTACACCCTATTCAGACCTGTGAGTCATAGTTTGCCGTTGGGGAAGAACCTGTTAATTTTACGTGACTTCAGGTTTCCTTAGGTTCATTTGCCTGGCAGATTCATTGAGCATCTTCTGTATACAAGGCACAAAGATGAGTAGTACATAGACATTTAACAATTTTTAAGATAAAATTTTTTTATGTTATGCATATTTGTTAGAAAAAAATGTTTAGACTGTACAGAAAAGAAAAAGAAGGAAATAAGAATCACTTATGTCACTCACCATGCAGAGATGATCGTGGCTAAATTTTGTGTATATTTACGTGTATTATGCCTTCGCCAAATCAAAGTCATATTGAAGATTCAGTTTCGAATCCGGCTTTTTTCTCTCAACATTGTATTAAACAAGTATTCATCAAGTGGCTACTAGTGCTGGCCTTCAGACGGATTATGGCAGAGCGGAGTGAAGAGTCACCACAGACATGAACCGTGCAGAGGTGGACAGACAGGGCAGTGGACAGCTCTGGAGTTGGAGGTGTCAGGAGAGTCTTCACGGAGGAGCTGGATCTTGAGGGATTATGGGTTCACAGGCTATGACGGGGATGGAGGCAGAGGCAGCAGTTGGGAAGGGCACCCCAGGTAGCAAAAACAGCAATGTAAAGATCAGAGGACGGGATCAGAGGCAGAGGGGTGTCATGGATGGGTTGGAGCTGAATGACATTAAAGATCCACTAACGAGCATTAAGTGGGGAGAAACATTGGATTTGCATTTTAGAAAGCCTGCTGTTTGTATACACACTTTCATAGTGTGAGAGTGGATTGGAAAGGAGGCCAGGAGGGAGATGAGAGGAGCTGGGAGACAGTGAGTTCGTGGAGTCATCCAGGGGAGAGACGACAAAGGCTTGAGCCAGAGCAGCAATAGATTTCAAAGATATTTAAAAGGTAGAAAGGACAGGAGTTAATGGCTGACTTGGTGCTTTGCCATGTGACTTGCTTCAGCCAGTAAGATGTTAGTGGGCATGCCTTAACCAGTCTTGAAAAGCACTGGTGCCACTGGGCTTGTTCGCTCGCATGCCTTTGCCCTGGTCATGGGAACATGCTGGGGTAGTCCACTAGGCCCAGGAGGAGGAGAGAGACAAGGGTAGCAGAGCCACCCAGCCGAAAACAGATCTAAGCCACTGAGTTTGGGGATGATTTGTTATGTGGCAGTTGCTAACTAATAAAGAAATGTCTTTGTTCTTGTATGGAATGCTTACTGTGTGCCAGGCATTGTTCTGGGCACAGGGGATACAGTGCTGAGCCAGACAGACAAGGTCCTTACTCTTACATTACCGTGAGGGTGCAGCAAAGGAAGTTGGAATGACGCCAGGGCCCTGGCTGCTAACTAGGTGCATGGTGATGCCAGTAATCAGGATGGGTCAGAGGAGGAAAACCAGTTCTGGGAGGAAAGATCATGAGTTTGATTTAGGAAAGGAATTGGAGGTACCTATGGGACATTTAAGTGGAGGTGTCCAGGAAGGAGTGAGCTATATAGGTGCAGAACACAGGAAAGATGTCAGGCTAGGGACAGCAAGTTATCAACATAATAGGACAGAGAATCATACGTACCAGAGAGAGAGAGAGAATAAGTGTTGTAGATATTCAGAGGAGGAAGAAAGGACTTGTGTCCGGGAGCGTGGAAAAGGTGTTGCTCTGAAGGTAACCTGTAAGCTGGGTTCGTACTTGTGATGAGAGGAGAAAGGCACACCAAACCCAGTAGACAGGAGATGCTCAGGCATGGAGGTAAGACAGAGCTGCCCTGTAAGAATAAGACTGAAAAAGTAGACTGGAGTGAGATCATGGAGAGTCTTGAATGCCCGGGCAGGGATGCTGGAGTTTCATTAGGAAATGGGGAGCCAATGAATGTTTTTGAGCAGGGGAGTGACATTAGGTACTCATGTCTAGGAGATGGGCAGTAGTATGTAGTGGGATGAGTTTTGAAGTAGAAGTCAAGAGATATGGATTCTGGTCTCAGCTCTTCCATTTACTGGCTCTGGGATATGGGGCAAATGACTTCTCTCTGAACCCCAGCTGTGTCTCTTAGAAAACAGGAGTAAAACCCTGTCTGGTATGGCTCAGCTGGTTGGAGTGTCATCCTGTACACCGAAAGGGTTTGGATTTGATCCCCAGTCAGAGTACTTACAGGAGGCAACCAATTGCTGTTTCTCTTTCTCTTTCTCTCCCCTCCCCCTTCCTCGCTGTAAAATCAATGAAAACTATATCCTGGGTGGGATTTTTTAAAAGGAAAGTAAAACTACCTGCCCTTCACATGAATCTTAATTGTGTAAGAATCAATGATACAATGTGAATGAGAGTGCTTGGAAGACGCAGAGCAATGCACGGGCGGGGGACTCTGTAACTAGGCCCCCTGCGGCGGAAAGATGAGACTGGAGTTCCTAGAGGGGTGGGCAGACTGCAGATGGCACCTTTTTTACCTCTGACCCTTCTCCCACCTTGGTGTCCACTGGCAGCTGGCCAAGCTGGGGTTCATGTTCTGATGCTCTGTCTTCCTGTTCTTGATGCAGCCCTGACCTCTCTCATCCTACCACCCACATAAACAACGCGTCATTTAGAGAATACCTGTTCAGGAGAGGCCTGTGCCAGGGCTGCAGAACAGAAGACCAGAAACATCTGCTGCCCTCGAGGAGTACAGGCTAGTTGGATCAAAAGGGCATGTGCCTAAAATAGGAAATAGGGTGGCACTGGATAGAGGGCCAGTGAGTGGTCCAGACAGTTGTTGGTGAAGGATGAGGAGAAAGCAGAGAGTCCTGTGGGCTGGGCCTTGAAGACTGGGTTTAAAAGAAAGGAGGGGGAGGGGAGTAGAAGTGGAGGGAAGACTCCTCTGTCAGCCCCCTGGTTTCCTTTCAACATCGATACTAAACACCAAAACCCTGCTTAATGGAGCAGTTAGGGACAAATGCGACCACAAGAGCTACCACTTCACACCCACGAGGATGGCCATCATCAGAAAACCAGACAATAACAAGCTGCTGGCAAGGATGTGGAGAAATTGGAACCCTGGTGCGCTGCTGGTGAGAATGCAAAATGGTATAGCTGCTATGAAAGACAGCAAGGCCATCCCTCAAAAAATAAAAATAGAATGGCCAGATGATCCTGCAATTCCACTTCTGATTATATACTCAGACGAGTTGAAAGCAGGGACTCGAGCAGATATTTGTACACCTGTTGCGTTGCACAACAGTGTTCAAAGCAGCATTGGTCCCAATAGCCAAAAGGTAGGAGCAACCCATTAATGGATAAATAATAAACAAACAAAATGTAATATATCTAGATAGATAGGTCCCAGTAGAATATTATTCAGCCTTAAAAGGGGAAAGAAATTCTGACGCATGCTACGATATGGATGAACCTTGAAGACCCTCTGGAAAGTGAAATAAGCCAGACACAAAGGGACAGATGTATATTCCATTTATGTGAGGCACCTGCAGTCCAATTAATAGAGACAGAAAGTAGACTGTGGTTGCCATGTGCTGGGGTGGGGTGAGAGTTTTTAACTGATACAGAGTTTCAGTTTGGGATGATGAAAAGGTTCTGGAGTCCAGCTGGTGTGGCTCAGTGGTTGAGCATGGACCCATGCACCAAGAGGTCGCCAGTTTGATTCCCGGTCAGGGCACATGCCCAGGTTGTGGGTCTGATCCCCAGTGGGGGGCAGGCAGGAGGTGGCCAATCGATGTTCTCTCTCATTGATGTTTCTCTCTCTCTCTCTCCCTTTCTCTATAAAATCAATAAAGGAAAATAAAAGGTTCTGGAGATGAATGGTGGAGGTGGTGGTTGCACAACGGTGTGAATGTACTTAATACCTCTTAACTGGACACTTAAAAATAATTAAAATGGTAAATTTTTTGTTACATACATGTTAACACACATGCATAAAAGACAGGTGTGATGGCTTGCTTAGAAAAATCTCAGATGGGTCACGTGAGAAACCAGCTAGTAGCCTAGAACTGGGGGTGATTGATGGGCCAGGACAGCTGACTCTTTCACTGGCCACAGGTCATTCAGAAAAGTTGTTATAGGGAGAGTAGTAGACACCTTCTTCCAAGAAGCATTTGAGCAGTTACTCAGGAACCCAATGGGGTTGTTTGTTTTCTTCATTTCTCACGCCTGCCTGGCTCAGGTCAGGGGTATGGAATAAATGTAATGACGGTGGAATAAGGTAGAGATTATGGTTGGTAACCAGAGAGAAAGGCAGAGGCAGGTTTGGTGACATCAGAGACTTGGACTGGATGGTGGGAAGGCACGCCCTCCCCTCCCCCCTCCCCCCTCATCTGTGCTCTCTGTGTCCCCAGCAGCTGGCCCCAGAAGGCGCCATGGCTTCCGTGGAGCCCCTGACGGCGCTGTCCCGCTGGTACCTGTACGCCATCCATGGCTACTTCTGCGAGGTGATGTTCACCGCGGCCTGGGAGTTCGTGGTGAACTTTAACTGGAAGTTCCCGGGGGTGACGAGCGTGTGGGCGCTGTTCATCTACGGCACCTCCATCCTGATCGTGGAGCGCATGTACCTGCGCCTGCGGGGCCGCTGCCCGCTGCTGCTGCGCTGCCTCATCTACACGCTCTGGACCTACCTGTGGGAGTTCACCACCGGCTTCATCCTGCGCCAGTTCAACGCCTGCCCCTGGGACTACTCCCAGTTCGACTTCGACTTCATGGGCCTCATCACCCTGGAGTACGCCGTGCCCTGGTTCTGCGGGGCCCTCATCATGGAGCAGTTCATCATCCGGAACACCCTCCGCCTCCGCTTTGACAAGGACGCCGAGCCCGGGGAGCCCGGGGAGCCCGCAGGTGCCCTGGCCCTGGCCAACGGCCACATCAAGACTGACTGAGTGGGGGACTCGTGGCCGGGGTGGGGCGGGGCGGGGCGGGGCCGGCAGGGTCTCTCAGGGGCCCTGCGGAGAAAACGACTAAGCTGCTGGACTGGCCCCTTCTGCACAGCACAAGCCCCGCGCGTCCAGCCTCAGCCCCGGGAGCACACTCAGCCCCATGCCCTCCTCCGTGGGCGGGCGTGGGGGCGGGCTGTGGCAGCAGCAGAGGAACTTTGGGCATGGGTCCATGGACCTCAGCCCAGCTCAGAGGCTGGCAGCAGGAGGCCTGCGGCTTCACAGGGACTAGACTTACCTGGGTGACTTCGGAAGCAGCAGGCCCTGTTCCTGGCTAAGGAACTTTGAGAAATGGGCAAAAGGTGGTAGGCAAGGTCTGCAGAGGCTTGGGGCTGCTGCCTCGGCCACCTGGTTCCCTCTCCTCTGGTTTAGTTGGGCTTTGGCTGGTTCCATTAGGCAATATTCAGGTGCTTGCTTGCAACCAATACCTCCCCGGGGGCCTGCTGAGCTGCAGCCTGAGGAGAGACTGGGCAGCTGGGAGGCTGCTTGGAGCCATGCTGATCTGCAAGGGCAGGGAGGCCCTCCCTGGCTCCTCTCCCCTCCCCCAGGGCCCCACGCTGCTCTCTTGGCCTTCTGGGGGCCCCCTGGTGCTGGATTCCCACCAACCTTGGGCTTTTGGAGGTTTCAGTCCGTGTATTTGGTGGTGTTTCCCCTTTTCTCTCTTATTTTCAAGGCCTTTACCACGATCAGCCCTTTATCCATGTCAGTCATCCACCTCCAACTCCCCAGCCAACACAGCAGCTGCCAGAGAGAGACCCTGAGACAGACCTTGCCCGGCCTCTGCAGCCTTCCCTCCGCCGTCCCCCAGTCTGCGGGGCTGTGGCAGTGCCCCGGTGCTCTCCTCCATCCACGCCCCTCCCCGCAGTAGCCCAGCTGAAATGAATGATACCCACCCACGCTGTCAGGCCAAGATGGGCCCCAGAGACCCACAGTGGGGACCTAGAGACAAATTAGTGTGTGCGTGGTGGTTGGGGGGGGGGTCTGTGGGGAAGGGGGTAAAGGCATACCCAACGGGTTTATTTTCAATCTAGTCAGGGGCAATCTAGCATTCTACGGAATGAGGGAGCAGTATCCAGTGTGGGGGCATCATGGAGAATGAATGAAGGAGACCCTCCCATCCTTGGTGGGAAGAGATCAGCTCTGGTTCTGCCATAGCCCAGCCCTGCAGCAGAACCTCCTCAGGGCTACCCTCTCCTCACCCTTCCCAGCAAGGCCGACACTTTGAGCTTGCACCTCAAACAGTATTAACCCTGCCATGCTCATGGACATTGTCATCTTGGTGGCCCATGACAGGTCCATTGCTGGCAGTGGACAGGTGAAAACCTCACTCCAGCCCACTTCTGGCTCTGCCCCCACTTGCCAAGGGCGGGGGGTGTCCATCAGAACACAGTCTATCCCATGGTACACAGTCTCTTCTTGACCATAGAACTCTTAGGTAGAAATTAGCCTCTCCCTTTTTATAGAACATTAAAAAGTGATAATGCCACCTTTGGAGAGAATCTCCTCTTCCTTACTGTGTTGCTCCACCTAGATTGTGCAGACAGCACCGGGCCAGGGCAGGTGGGCCGGGTGTGGGCAGGAGTGGTGTCCTGATTGGGAGAAAGGCGGGAAGACTCTGTCTTCGGCAGGGTTGCTTTCTACAGCTGATCCTGTCCAGGACAGGAGGAAGGGCATTTTCCAGACTCTGCCCTGGGTAGGCTCATCACATCGAGGCACGAAGTACATTCTGCTGGGACCAGCCCTACCTTTGATATTCCAGTGGCCCCGACTCCAGGGCTTTGGGGCTTCTAGGGATTCAGTTTCCAGTGAGGGTAGATTGCTTTCCATCTGCAGCTGGAGGGGATTCCAGAGGAAGAATATTGTCTGGCTTCCCTGTTCCCCCTAGGTAATTGCTTCCTTAGTCCTGTTCCCCAACTCCATGCCATGAACCCCAACACTCCTGCAAGCCCCCGTGTGGGCCCCTAGACCATACCCCCCACCTCTGATCTCCCTCCCTTTTTACAGTGGAATATGGTGGTCAGCTTGATTTCTCCCAGCATAAGGCCTCCACAATTTTCAGCCTGGCCAAGCCCTTGGATGGCCCACTGGATCTGGCCACTCCACATGTTGCCTATGGGCATTTCTTGGCACCATCCCTTGTTTGTGCAGGAGGTCCTGGAGTAAGCCTGCCTCCCTGGCATTGTGCAGAACATTGTGTTTCTGCTTCATTCAGGTGCCCCATGGCTCCTGTTGTCCCTCATAAGACACAGAGCCCCCCACAAAGGGAGGCACTGAGCCAGGGCTTGACCACAGGATCTGCAGGCTCAGAGCTCACCAGGGATACCCCAGACTTCAACTCCTTTTTTCGGTATCTTCAGGGCCCCAACTGCTTAGTGGCCAGGGACTCAAAGTCTAGAGTAACCCAGCCCTGCTAAGCAGTGGGGGTGCTGGCGGAGAGTCTGCTCCCTGTTTGTCAACCGCTGGTGTCCTGGGCCTCTTAGCTGGACATCTCAGCACCTGTGAGTTACAGACGCCATGTGCTACCTGCATGGTTGAACCGCTTCCATGTCTGCTAGGTCTGCTAGGTATCTTGGCCCTTGTGCCCTGTTCCCTCTGATGCCAGTGAGTCATAATGGCATCACAATGGCCTATGCTTATTCTCAGCAATAATACCTAGGGAGTGGCCACAAGTCCTTTTGTCCTGGTCCCGTGCCCTCTGCATGGGTCTCCCGGGGAGGCAGCCACGGAGTGGGTCAGTTCATGAGAACCTGTGTTTAAGAAGCTCTGGGCTGTGCAGACATCATCACAGGAGATGCAGAGGGGCCCGGCCCTGGAGGAGCTATGGCCAAGGCATGGAGGAGACCTTCCACACTGCGGCCACCCTAGCCTGGAGGAGCTGCAGGTCCTGGAGGGCGGCACTGGCTCCCAACTGCAGCAGCTCTTCAGAAGGACACACGACTGGTCTGTGCACCCACTGCCTGCTCTGTCTCCGTTAGTCTCTTTGTCTTTCTTTTCACATTCGTGCACATAAAATATACGGTGTTTGTGTTCCAGGACTGGCCTGACCTATCTCTTCTATTTTGGAGCTCCTCTCCTAGCGCTGCCGGAAGCCAGGCTCTTCACACCCTGGCATCACGCTGCTGGGTGGGGCCACCCTGTGGGGAGGGCAGGTGGCACTCCCCACCAGTCTTCTCACTGTCTTCGCTCTGATCCTCTCTGGTAACCTGAATTCTCCAACCAACCCCCAACTGCCCACCAGTAGCATAATCTGGCCCAGGACTTAGAGTTGGCCCTCGTTTATCACGGTTAATCAGTTCCAGACTCTGCCGTGATAAACGAATTTCCGCGAAGTAGGATTCTTTCTTTACTATACTGCTTTGGTCCCAGGCTGCGGGGCAGGTGAGGAGCCCGGGCAGTCCCCGGCCGGCTATAGGTTAGCTGCCTCCGCCCGTGAGCTGAGCTCCTCTCGCACGCGCCAGCCGATCCGGGAGGTCTGTGCCATGGGGCGGGAGGGCACAGGGAGGAGGCTGAGGGTACCTCAAAGAGCTGGAAGTCAGACTCCTGACGTCCCATTCTGTTCAGGTCACACGTTGAAGACGCAGAGCTCACACTCCCCGGCAGCGCCGCCTTCCCTGGGACACACATTTGCAGGCGGGTCCCTCCCCACTCTGTCCCTCTGTTGTCTAGCTGCCCTTGTCCATTTCCTGCTTCCGGGAAGAGGATGGAGGGTTTGGAATTTGCTCAGTCAGTCCAACTAAACACCCCTGGCTTGACCCCTCCTGCCCCAGCCCAACCCGGCCACAGCTGGGCTGCAGAACACGGGCTGGTTTTCTGGATGGAGGGGCAGGGTGCTTTCTGAGTCACTGAGAAGGCGCTCTCCCTCCTCTCGCCTGAAGGTATTGATTTCTTTGACTAAAAGCTTTTCGCCTTATAAAAATGAACAAGTATAAAGCCCCAACAGTCATTTACATGTTAGTATAAACAAATCTATAAGGCTACTCCCTTAGCAGTTTCTATGGAAAGAAGCAGGGAAACATAATGAAGCAGGGCCTATCTCATGGAACTTGAGAGAAGAGGCAAGAGGTGGGGCTCAGAACAAGAACACTGAGGGCACTGAAGACCCTTCTTAGCGGGCCAGCTCCTTGTCCTCCACTCAGTGTGTGCCTTCCTGACTTGACACTTTCCTTCCTTACCCTCTCACCCGATCCAAGGGGATCATCTGACAACACTACATCGAGGCGAGTTCTCTAGGAACGCTAAGGCCAAGGGCCTTGCCGCATCTTATGAAGTCTGCCCAACCTCTGCAAAAACCTAACACCGAATAACAGTGAACAAACGACCGTAACCTTGCTTTGTCTGCTGGGGTGCCTGTCTCAGAAGGGTGTATTGTCTGTACTGCCCCCTGGTGCAACCCAGGGACAGCTGTGTTTGCTGGGCAGGGAAACAGGTCCAGCAAAAGGGAGTGCCTAACTCATCATGCCGCAGGTCAGAGGGAGCCGGTCCCAATTATAGTGACTGCTGTGGCTCCTACGCTGCTGGTCCCACCACGCCCAGTCCAGGCGCAGCAGAGTTTTTCTCTCCCACCTGAGGTGGGCACTATTCCCTGTTTTATAGAGGAGGTCTGGTGACAACCAGTCTGCAACCCAGTTTACCACGTCAGTCTTGTTTCAATAGAAACAGAAGACACTTTGGGGGGCTTTGTGATGAGTCAGGTATCCTTTTGTACTTCGATGAGATTGTGGATGTGGTTAAGAGTCCAATCCATCCAAATGCTATTCACAGAGAAATTAATGTTTGGGAGTGAGAGTTGGAGGAGAGAGGGGATTACAAGGAAGGGGGTATGGGATGCCATCTTAGCCAAGACTTCAGTTGCCACAAGGATCCATCCCTGCCGAGAGAGAGTTGTGAAATTTTGACCTCTTGCAACCTTGGGTTAGAGCTGACACCTCTCCCTCCATAGGTCTTGTTGATGTCCTGGGCCTTTTCCCAGTTCTCCCAT